AGTTATTAAAAAGGAACAACCAATAGTTAAGCAGGCAGCTTAAGCTAGTTTTGGTGCTGGGGTCACAAAAACTCGATATTTTTAGAATGCGTAGGAGACATAATAATGTATCCACAATTAGAAGTTTCCATTGCTTAAATCCGTACTGTGGTTTTTCTAACATCTACCAAAAAGCAAAACGAATTTTAAAAGTTTACGTAAACGTAAAAAAAATAATAAAGACTCGTATTCTGCGGTAGCGAACACATTGATCTACGTATAATTCCCACTTGGTCAAACCATGCAAGATTCATATTGACTCACTTACAAATTTTACTCGGACTCAATCCGTAAGATAGACATACTGACTCAATCCGTAAGATACACATACTGACCCGGCCATACATTACAATACTGACTCAATTCGTAAGATACACATACTGACTCAATCCGTAAGATACACATACTGACCCGGCCATACAATACAATACTGACTCAATCCGTAAGATACACATACTGACTCAATCCGTAAGATACACATACTGACCCGCCCATACAATACAATACTGACTCAATCCGTAAGATACACATACTGACTCAATCCGTAAGATACACATACTGACTCAATCCGTAAGATACACATACTGACCCGGCCATACAATACAATACTGACCCAATCCGTAAGATACACATACTGACTCAATCCGTAAGATACACATACTGACTTAATCCGTAAGATACACATACTGACTCAATTCGTAAGATACACATAGTGAATAAACGCATAAATTACACAAACTGGCACATACCGTAACAATCTTACGATGACTCAACTCACACATCACACAGACTGACAGAATGTACAAATCTTACTTAAATCATACAATATACATACTGACTTAAATCATACTAACAAGAATCATTCATAATGCATACTTATAAATCATTATACATATTACCAAGAATCATTCACTATGCATACCAAAGTTCATAATACTACCAAGAATCATTCATTATACTAATTACTAAGAATCATTCATAATGCATACTTATAAGAATCATGTAATCTACAACCA